GTGACCAAGCCAACGACCAGCTTCCGACTGCTGTTCTCTTTTTTCCCGTCATCGCTCACCTTCCCGGAATCGCCGTCCCTCTGTAATCGACAAGGAAAACTACATGACGCAGTTCCCGAGGTAAGAACTGCGTCCTCGTCGCAAAGTGAAAGCCCTTTTCATTCTCCGCGAAATGTAATTAACGGCATTCTCGAAGGTCTATCAATACTTGCCACAATTGCTACTTGTACCACTATTTCTGTAACCACAGCAAAACTTTGCCCTCCAACTCGAAAAGAGGTGACGCCGTACTTTGGTTTGTTTCTTCCTATTGCTATTGCACAGCCTGTGCAGCCTGTGGCTGCGTGTGTCACCAGACTTGTAATCCGAGGAGTGCCCTGCACAGCCGAGTTCGCGTACTCCCGCACAGTTCTCATGACATCAAATAAGGTTTAACGTTTCACTCCCATCTCCAAGGCGTCGTTGGCTGCGCCCGCACCAAAGTCGCCTTTTCTACCCTTGGTGATGCTCTAACTGTGGACGCCCGCCCTTCCTGCGCGAAGTTGGTCATTACTAACGGCACCCAGATCTCCCTGCACGCTGCTGTCTTCGCACCTGTGTCGCGATCCGCTGCCTCCGATGCAACCGCACTCTTTACGCCTTTCACTGCTTTCGTTCATCGCCACCTATCACAACTCCAAATCAGTCTGTTTACTCTTCAAAGTGATTCAACCGATGAACCTGAGAGTTATTTTCCTTCCTTCATCTTCGATCTGGTTGGTGGCAAGTGCTCATGAATACAGATGACAGGCCGAAAACCACGTTTATTACACCATATGGCTTATACGAATTTAGCGTGATGTCAATCGGCTATAGGAATGCGCCGGCAACAATGAGCGCACAATGAACAGTATCCTACAATGCCTCAAATGAAACATGTGTTTGTGCTACTTGCATGATGTAGTGGTATTAGTGCCCAATTTTTCCTCGCACCTTCGTCACTTGGAGCAGATTTTACGTTGCCTCACTGTAGCTGGCATCTAACCAAACTTGAAGAAATGTTACTTTGGAACAAACAAACTGACTTTTCTCAGACACGTCGTGTTGAACAATGGCATTCTTTCTGACCCCGCAAATTTACGTGCTGATTGAAAGATCCCGAGGCCCGCGTCTCTCATTGAGTTGAGCAATTTCATTGGGATTTGCACATATGGCGCTTCGTCAGTCATTTCGCCTCGATCATGGCACCTGTGACAGACACACATCAGGGAGACTATAATCTATGCGCGTGGTCTCCAGCCTGCGACAACGCCTTTGCGAAGCTTCGTGAACTGCTTACAACTTCATCCATACTGTATCATTTTGGTTCAAGTGTCCCAAGAAAAATCAGCACGAATGCCAGTGGTGTCGGTCTTAGCGCAGTAGTCGCCCAACGAAAGCCTGGCTACCAAGACTATGCTGTTGCGTACGCGAGTTACACTCTTACTACAGCAAAAGCAAATCATTCGATTGATTGATTGATTGATTGATTTGTGGGGTTTAACGTCCCAAAACCACCATTTGATTATGAGAGACGCCGTAGTGGAGGGCTCCGGAAATTTTGACCACCTGGGGTTCTTTAACGTGCACCCAAATCTGAGCACACGGGCCTACAACATTTCCGCCTCCATCGGAAATGCAGCCGCCGCAGCCGGGAATCGAACCCGCGACCTGCGGGTCAGCAGCCGAGTACCTTAGCCACTGGACCACCGCGGCGGGGCAAAGCAAATCATTCGGTAACCGTGAAAGAATGCCTAGCGATCATCTTGGCCATTACAAAATGTCAATCTTATCTGTGCGGCTGCCCTTTCCATGTGATTACCAATCACTACGCCCTCCGCTAGTTGTCCTCCCTCAAGAATCCCTCTGGATGCTTGGCACGATGGACTCTGCGAATCCAAGAGTGCGACATTCGTGTCACTTACCGCTCACGCCAGAAGCACGCCGTTTTCGGCACTCTTTCGGGTTCGCTTGTTTCTACTGCTATTGTGAGTGGCTCCATTCAAGACAACCTACTTTCACCACCAAGATCCATCGACATGGCTTCGGAGCAGTGCGAGGATTCGTGGATTGCGTCTGTGACGGATCACCTCTATTAAGCACTTGCTCCCCCACTTTCTCGAGCACTACGGCAACGAATCTCTCGTTTCACCATTGGCGATGGAATCTTTATTCGCCGCTACCACCAAACTGGCAGCCGCAAATGGCTTGTCGTCACACCCAGGCGACTCCGCGCTCACACTTGTGCCGCATTCCATGTCGATCCGCAGTGTGCAAACACCGGCTTCTTTGAAACCAACACCAGGCTACGTCATCCGTATTACTTGCACGTAAAGTACACATTCGTACAAAAGTACATTCAATCTTTCACAGAGTGTCAACGCCGCAACCGCGATCTTAGCCACCCTATCTCGCCAATGCAGCCATTAACGCGCCCAGTGCGGCCATTTAACCGGGTAGGAATATAAAATTATGGTCGTCTGCTATACAGATGAGCTGGGAGTCGCTGCGTTATAGCAGCGATCAACCATCTCACGAGATAAGCAAAAACCTCCGCTCTGCCAGCCACGACGGCACGTCACGCTGCGTCTTTCCTGCTGCTGCGTTTTGTTTTGTTTTGCATCACAGCGCTCCCCGTGAACTTGTGAGTGACTGAGGCCGCGCGTTTCTCGCGGATGTTATTCAAGAACTCGCTGAATAATATGTGATTCATCACTGTACTACGATATATCACTCACCAACAAACGGCTTGACGGATAGTTTCAACCACACTCTTGGCGACATGCTTTTTATGTATGTCGCCGACGACTACACCAAGTGGGACCTTATTCTTCCCTACGTAACTTACGCATAAAACACGGCACTTCAAGTAATGAAAGGCTTGTCTCTCTTCTTTTTACTCTATGGTGAGAGCCATCATCTCCAATCGACACCATCCTCCCCTACCGACTCGACCCATCTGAGGCCACACCAGTTCCCGAAGCTGCTCAATATGCGGAAGTATAATGGCAATTAGCTCGCACTCTTACAGCAAAACAAAGGCTACAGAAATTTTACCACAACGACGGGCAATCACACTACCAGTTTTCACCAACTCTCTTGTTTGGCTTTGGGTGCCTACCACTGCTGCACCAGGTATATCTACAAAGTTTGCAGGCACCACGGTTCTTACCACGTTATAGAGCAAACTTATGCCGTGAACGACGTCATCGAACCCCTCACGTCCACTGCGGACGGGCTCCGCCAAATCTACAAAATTTTACACGTGGATCGTCTTAAACGGTATCACGAACCACTTGTTTTCACGACACTTTAGAACAGCTACTTTGCTCCATCTTCAGCGAATGATAAATACGTAATGAAGTAGTGAGTTATGCGAAGCTAGACAGTCACATCGTCAGCGCTAAGCACGAAGCGCTCGGGTTGGGCATTCTGGCTGTTCACGCTGGCTAGGCCTACGCTCTTGCCCTTTCTAAAGTACCACTTTTACGTGTCAGGCTCTCTCTGTTCAATACATTAAATACATAAATAATAGCTGACTGTCCGCAACGGCTCTACTGATGCAGTCTTTCATTGTAAATGACCGGCAAGCTCTGTATTCAGAGCTGCTGCGAAAGCCCAACAAAATCTGTCTAATAAATATAATATGCCACGAGATTTTAACACTAGCCTGTGTTCTGCGTCTAATCAGTGACGAATTTTCGCATGTCACACCACTTCATCTGATTATGCTCGAACTGGTTACTAGGGGAGAATCTACAAGGGTTTCTTTATTCCTTTGTCAGATAAGTTACTGATCGGGGTAAAGAGGTACCACCAAGTGTCCATATAGGTGTTTCCGCGTAAATTGGCGCCACAGCTGCCAAACACCACTGGACATTGTGAGAGCTCGCTTACGTCATTGTCCAGTTTACAGTGAGCTAGGTCGGTAAGGATATGTTTTAACTTCGTGTAAAATTCTTTTTTGTGATGAAGCCACCATCCATGGGTTTCGTTCCTTCGTGATTGTCATAACAGGTTTCGGCTGCTCGTGACGGTGGTGCGTGTGGTCATTCTTGCTGAAAAGTTATGAATTTTTCATTTGATATCATTGGTGTTTACAGTGCATGTATGTTTCACAACCGGTAAGTTGAATAGTAGGTACGCAAAATTTTTTGATGATTTTAGTTGCACTTTTTGTAACTACAATGACCATGCTAGGATAACCGCGGAATTCCGTGATAGAGTTAGTCACAGGATTGTCATTGTTCTTATTTGTCAGATACTCATCAAGTATATATTGGGAGGTTCCAGGAAATAAATCTTGCTGTGAGTCAGTGCCACTATCTGTCTCCTTCTTATCTTGTCCCTCGTTATTGGCGCTGATTTTACGTGAATAATTTCTTCCTTGCCGCAACATGGAACGTTTTTAAGAAGCACCATTAGGCAAAATGCATTTTATGTTACGAAAATTGGATCTATTGATGTTTGCAAAAGGCAGAAGTCATATGTTGGTAGCACGAAGCGACCAAGAATTCTAAAAACAACTTTGTTGCCAAGAACTTTGTCCTTGTCTGGATATCAAATTAGAGACCAACACTTTTTCGGTCACTCAACCAATTCAGTTCGCCAGGAAGATAAAATGACCGCCTAAAGGTGCATTCCTCAATAAACCCAACCTTCTGAAACACTGTGGAGGGAAAATCAATTAATATATTACCACCATATGTACTTATATCCTAATCACTGTAAAGACTTTCAGACTATAGAAATTTTCGGGTCCTTCATTGCTTTGCGCCATATATTATTTCATATAATGGTTTAGGTACGCTAGAGGCAAATTTATATTAATACGTTATTAACGGCTGTACAGTTTACCCAACGCCTGCATACGTATACGCGTACCGCGAATGCAAAGTGCGAACACACAAGTAACCGTTATCGGGAACCTTGCGTCTCAAAGTGTTACGAGGCACCATAGGGAAACCACAAAACAAACTTACTGTTCTTGTTGCTCTTCCTTGGAATAACCTTGGAAACTGTCGATGAGGTCTACGCACTTCCAGCCCCGGTCGAGCCCACTGAGGTCATAGATAATCGAAGAAGATAATAGAGTTGGTTTCAACTGAATGCACAGAAAAGCAAGTTTGTTTTAATATCCAGGAAGAGAGGCATTCTTTCCGAATCTCATATTTAAGTGCATATGCAACATCTTTCTGTTAATACTGAACACAAAAATTTTGGCCAAATCTTGGACACCAAGCTAACCTTCATACTAAACATGAAGTATCAGAAAAACAAGTGCATAAAAGCCATGAATGTTCTAAAGGTGTTGTGAAGCACTACATAGAGAAATGACAGGAAGTTTCTGATCAATTTGTATACAAGCCTCATACGTACTCGCCTAGACTATGGGGAAATACCATATCAGACTGCGACACCTACTGCTCTTAATATGCTTGATCCTGTTCATCATCTACGTATCTGCCTCCCTTAGAGTTCTTTTCGCTCTAGCCCTGTGAAAAGCTTGTACGTGGAATGCGAAAAGCCTGTACGCCCCACCTGCAGAGATGTTACATGTCCTTATTCATTATTTTAAAGTGAACGCAGACAACCAACGCCCCTCACATTCTACAATAATGACATGTCGAGCCTTGCTGTTCTTGAGAAATGGCCGTCCATGAGACAGCCCTACTCACTCCATGTGAGGGGTCTAGTGAAGGAAACCAGTGTGCCACATGAACAACGTTACTGTGGCAGTGGCAGGCGATAAATTGCGACGTGTCTTTCTTAGACGTTACGAAGCACGCGCCAATTCCACATATTCTGACATTCTTCCTAGAACTACAAAAGAAATACACGTGTCCTGAATCCTTCACGAATGATTCAAAGTCCAAAACTTCTGCCTCGTACGCAGCTGTCGGTCCACTCTTTGCGTAAGCTGACCTTCTGCGCTCTGATACGAGTATTTTCATCGGCAAATGTTTTGCGATACTTGCGGCTGTTAAACGCGAAAAAAAATGAAGCTACAAAAACCAATAATATAGACAGATTCTCTAAGCATACTAAAAGCTCTGAAAGCTTTAAAGAGCACGAAAACCCGATTCTTGTCACGCTTTATTCGCTTTTATGTACAGCCTACTCATCTAAACAGCATGTTGTATTCTGCTGGATGCCAGGGCACCGCGAAATTCAACGCAACGTTCTGGTGGACCAGCAAGCTGGATCCGCGAACGAAACCACTACCAATACATCGGTACCCATTTCCTGCAGTCGACTTGAAACCTTTTCCAAAACGAAAGCGGAATATGTTGTGATTTCATAACCCAATGATTGCCTCACGACGTGCCTTTTTTTTTTCAAATTCACTCTAGGCACTCAAGTGGCATTCGTAATGCCAACGAGTTATAAACGTTTTTATCAAAGAGGAGGAACCATCTTTTATGGGCTGTTTCACCAGAGCACAAAACCTGACGTCAAACCTTCGGCCCTTCAATTTTGGGGGCTGACCCAGGCTAACAACATACCAGACGGACTTGTGGTGGCTCCTAGGGAGCCTTCAGAATTAAGGTGGTGCGCTGTACAATTCAAGATGGCGCCTGAAGCAGGGTGATCCGGTTTGTTAGCGTACGAACACAGGACACGGGACATACGAAATGTGTCACTTTTGCCGAATAAAATCATGAGCTCCATTGAAATGTATATGATAGCAAGATACTTCAAAAACCACTGAAGCTCACAACTTGATTATTTGCCGCGGTGTAAAAGGTTACATTTCACCTTTGTTGTCATGTATAAAATGACTCTGCAAAATCCTATGCGTGCTGCAATAAACTGCACTAACTGGAATTGACGTATTGGCGGAACGGGACTCCAGAATCGTATGTACCGAGCCTGCCTGCCGGATTTGCCGCAGTACTAGGCGGCTAGCGAAAAACGTCATCGTTGATGCACGTCATCGAATGTTTAACGGGGTGATGGTTTGCAAACATATTTCGTCGTCATCAATACTTGGGATTCCAGAAACATGAAGTTGCTTCTTTAACAGAAAGCAAGCATTTAGCATACCGTTATGTAGCGCTTTTGTTACAGCCGGCTTGAAATTGTAGCCGTGCGCCATTCAGTGAACTCGAATATTGCAGGTTTGATGAGCGCGATTGAAATACGAGTATCGGAAAGAATGCACACGTACGCTTTACGCCACTTCAAAACTGCGAAAACTCGTCGAACAGCAACGCCGTTTCGAATTGTTGTGATCGGCGAGCCTGCCTTTGCCGCGGGCGCGGAAACTGAAGAAACGCCGCCGCCGATCAGGAGGAACGCGAAGTCTCCCGGCTGTTTTTAATGTATAGGGAGGTGCGTGGTTGTAATTACTCCACCGAGCAGTGCTGTCGCTTGTGCCGGTGCGGAAATGCCACACGAGGCGCCTTTGTACACCGAGGCCGCGACGCCGAGTTTCCGCCGAACACGGACCTTGGACCACCATGCTTTGCGTCTCTGGCTGCGAGGTTAGCGACGCTCCAATCAACGCCAGATGACCAAGCACGTGTTATTGAAGTTGCCTGGCCTGCGACCACCGTTCGACAGTGTGTGTGACCGGCCCGAGCTGTGACACGAGCGACTCGTTACATCTCGTTTGCTGGCAGCATGATTTTCAGATGTAACAACGTGGCCGAAACACTAGGTGTTTTGGGTTGTGTGTGGTGTGTGTGTGTGTGTTTTGGGTTGTGTGTGTGTGTGTGTGTGTGTGTTGGGGGCGGTACTGGCAAAATGACCGTCAACAGTGGTGACGTGATTGAGTGAAAACGTTTTCCCCGTTTCCCTAGGCCTGGCGTCTAGGGACTTCGAAGGGACCAAAAGCGGCAGTGTGCTCCTGAGAAAGCGCCTTCGACGAGATCGTCACAATGTATGACGACATCTTCGTCTAGATGTTTGCCTTGTAGCGAGAAATGCTCGCTTTTAAAGATGTATAAGAAATATCTGTACAGTTTTTCTCATCGGCCTCTTCATGCTCGGCGTCTTCCTGCCGAGTCCCTCGGTGCCCGCAATGGCGAAGTCCCAACACCTCTGCAACGGATAGCAGCGACTGGATCCCTGATCAAAACCTCCGGCCTCCATATAACTCTATGGGAGCGCTGGGATCCTGCTGAAATCGGCGCTCAAACAACTGGTGGTCAGCAGGTGGATTTGACCTGGTGAAATGGCACTGTGATTGCGGGTGAGCGTTTCATTTTAGCACTGAGATTTGCCAGGCTTTCCTATTCTGGGTTAACAATTTGAATTGGAAGTGAGAAATCTTTTGATGCAAAGTGCGGTTTTTGAGCATCCCTAAAAGGGCAAACCAATGCTTAAAGTAGTGACCATGAACCGAATGAAGTTTCGGAAGGTAGAACTGTTTTTGGTGTGTGAATAATTGGAATGTGCATTTAATGAAGCAATGAAAAAGAGTGATGTATTGAAACTAATAGACAAAAGTGGTTGTAGTGCGGACAGCATAGTCTTCGGAACTAGTTCAGAAAACTCTAAAGAGGGAAGAAGTGAAGAGACTATTTGAAAAAAAGGAGGAAATTGAAATTAGAAGGTTAGATATTGAAGTTGAGAGACCGCGTTTAGCTGTTAAAGGAAGAGTACTTGACACTCCTGAAAGAGCAAGCGAGCGAGAACCGAAAAATTGTAAGCATAAGAGCGAAGGTGAACGAAGAGTTAGGATGGAAGGTCACGGAAGAAAAATCCAACAAGTGCGGATCCAGCATGTGTGGTCTAAGCTACGCGCATTCAGAGTCGACGAAAACATCGCAACTTTTCCCGCATCGTTTGAGTGTGTTTGTGCAGAGGTGGAGCTAGACCGTGACTTTTGTACTGTTAGTTTGTTAGGCGTTCTTTCAAGTGACGTTGTCTGTGTGTTAGCTCGCCTTTCGGACGGTGAGTTATAGAAATGCGAAGTCGCTATGGTAGCGATATGGAGTCGCTATGGTAGCGCTTCGGCATTTCGGCGGAGAAGGTGCAAGGTCACAGTGCGACACAGGTAAAGCTTCTGTTTCTGACAAAAGAGAGACAGGTCGCGAATAAGGAGAACCTGTTAGAGAAGGATGCGTGTCTGTACTAATGGGTTAATGTAGAGCACGCAGAGAATGAGGCCGTCACTGATCCAGAGCCAGAGGCGTTTGAAGAGAGCGTTTCTTACGAGGTTGAGGTTTGTTTCAACTACTCGAAAAAAGTTAATGCGGAGTTTGAGACATCTCTCGTGCCTGAACACGTAGAAGACTGCCCAGAAAGGCCTACCGAAGGTAACGGTAACCTTGAGGTTAGTAGGAACGCCACTGTGAGGCCAGTAGGTATGCTAGAGTAGTACACAGTAAAAAGCATAGCGCAGTTGTGAATAGCAGCGAGGCATGCGAGCTAGGTTGTTTGGGAGGCAACAGCTCAATTGTTTCCAAATGTGCTAAGCTGTCTGCCAGTCCTCGACGCCATGAAGACGAGAGCAGCGAGACTGCTGGTGAGCGTGAGATGCAAGCAGGGGGTGCGAAAATGAGAAACAAGAAAATGCGCATACGGAAGCGGCGTCGTAGATCGCGAGTGCGACCAAAAGCATAACCCGTTCAATAGAAGGCTCGAAACTTTCAAAGGCAGTAGGCAAAACGAGGCCTTTGTCATCGGCCTCGAAGAAGTTCTGCATGCGCTCGAGCCGCCTCAGGGAAAGAAAAAGAAAGGCAGGTATGGCAAAAATGAAGAGAGAGGGAAAAAGTCCCTTCTCATGTCTTCGTATTCACGACAGGTACGATGGTGCACGGGAGTACGTCTGTGGTCCTCAGCAATTAGCCGAACCAGTAAAGGAAGTCGGCTCGCCAGCGAGGAGCTTAGTGGGGATCAGAGGCGAAGCGGATTGGTTTCGAGAGTGTTGTACTCCCCGCGCGATAAGAGAGGCTCACAGAGCGCGAGCACCGCGCGTACCGCTGAAAGATTAGTTAACAGCCGTAAGCTTTTGAGAGGTGGTTGCAACAAGATTTGTTTGTTCTTTCTTTGAACCTATGTTTAGTTGTTTATTTTGGATTTGGAATGTTTTCTTTTGGTATTTTGGCTA